GAGAGGGAGAGAGAGAGAGAGAGAGAGAGAGAGAGAGAGAGAGAGAGAGAGAGAGAGAGAGAGAGAGAGAAAGAATTGAAATACCATCATGTTTTCTTACCAGGTCGCAAGAACAGACTTCGCGTGTATCATTTGACTTGGCTGAGGAACAAGATTCTGAATAATGATCCGGAAAGTAAGAGAAGACAGAAGGAAATGCTGAAGACAGAGGAAGCTTGTAAATCTATTGATAAGTTGACTGGCTGTGAACACTTCAGTGTCCGTACGTCCATTTCATATTTAATATTGTTATATAGTTTATGCTTCCATTCATGTGGAGAGGTCCATAATTGCAAGAGACAAGGCAAGGAAAGGAAAGGATTTGCAATTTTGAATGAAAATGTGAGCGCATGTCATTGAGGCATCTCCTAGGCCTCTTCTATGTAATCATACCTATTGGCTGGAATCACTCTTGGAGTTCAATTTGGTTTACTTCTTTCTTCCTTTCCTAGTCGCTCTTAATATTTAAAAGTAATATTTTCCTTACTGTAACTACGTTTGATGTATCTTTAGCAACTTACAGAGATGTATATGATATTTTCTTCCCTTTTAATGGAAATAAAATAGGATCCTGTTTAATACTGACCAGGAAACTTCATAGTAGTGTAGGAGGTTCTGAAAGAGTGTTTCTGTGATCTACTGACTGTTGCTCCTAATACTTTATGTTTTATTATAGAGCTTTTCATATCCTGTGTCTCCTCATAAATATTTCTGTAAAATAGAGTAAGAACCTCTTTTGTCCACAGAATATTGTTCTGAGCTTTCGATGACTATGAAGTAAAGTTAGCCCGGTCTATTCTAGTTCTGAAGTAAATCCCCTCTGTTCTCAGTTTCCTTTTACTCTGAAGCCATTGACCCTCAGAGGAGAATTGGTAATGTAGGTGAAGGATTGCTGAAATCACTTTATACAAATTGCAAGAGAATATTTATATCATAACTGACTTTTTGTTTGCACATGTGCGCACATATAAACATATAGCATTAAATGAAGGGATTTGGGTCTAGAAAACTAAAGAACAAGATAAACTCTTTCTTCTAGCTTTAGATACCACACTGCCCTGCAGTCATATAACTATGATCGCCCCAAAGGTGAAAGACATTCCAAGATGTTAATTCAGCAGTTTATATTGAACAACTTCCTCTTACTAAGCTGCCAATTTTTTTTTAGCACAATGATAGATCTTTATAAGGGTAATCACCTTTGAAATCTGCTTTAGGTGAATGGACAGGTGAAGTCTTTTTTCCTAGCTGAGCCTGTTCTAATCAATAATACTTCTATCCAGGACTACCAAAAATCATTTCTTCCATTAACAGGTAAAATGGTAGGAGAGATAAAATTAAAAAAGAGGAAGGAAATATGATAAAGAGACAGAATATTGGAGAGAATCAGAACAGAAGCAGTATTCTAGCCAAAGAAGAGGGATGTTACATAAACGACCATGTGCTTTGTATAACTTTTACTTTCTCTATCAATAGTGATATTGAAATTATTTACCTACTATGAAATGTAGTTTTTAAAAATGGACAACTCAATAGCCATTACTATGATCTTATTTACATAAAAGTTCCGATTTTAGTCCCCAAAGAGACCAGTATTCCATGGATTCCATGACAGGCATTCAGTATTTCCTGTCTTTTTCCTTTCCCACTCTATTCTGTTTTTTCAAGACAGGCTTGCTCTGTGTGCCACCATTGCCCAGCCCCTTACCCATGTTTTGTCAAATACTAGAGAAACTTTGATCTTCTTTCCTTCTTTATGTATTTGCCTTATCTCAGAAGCTAATATAAATATATCTGTGTATTATGTGGTCTTATGTAACAGTTTTCTTTCACTTAGTGTAATGCTCCCAAGGTTCACTTGTATTGTGTCATAATACAACACATGTCAATATTTTTTCAAACTCCAGAATGTTAATATATTATATAGACATCACTTGTATTTATCAGTGTATCAGTTAGCAGATGTTTGTATGCTTGCTACTTTCAGGCTTGTAACAATAATTCTGCTATGGGTATTTATGTGCATCTTTCTTTTTTTCTCTCTTGGATAGTACTCCTAAACCGTTTTCAAACTAGATGCAGAATTTCCCATCACCACCACTAATATATAAGGGTTGCATTTTCTCCATATCCATTTGAATGTTTATATGTGTCTGTTTCTCCTTACAGTATTAGTCATCCTAAAGCAGAGTTAAAGTAGTTCCTCATAACTCAGTGTGCATTTTGTTGGTTAGTAATGCCCTTCCATACTTTTTAATGTATTTATTGATCATTTGTATATTTTTCTTAAAGTAAGTACTTTGCCTAGTCTTTTTGCTCTGATGCTGAATAGAGTTGTAGAAATTTTTATACATCCTATATACTACTCATTTTTTTTTCTGAGACAGAGTTTCTCTGTAGCTTTGGGGCCTGTCCTGGAACTAGCTTTTGTAGACCAGGCTGGCCTCGAACTCACAGAGATCTGCCTGCCTATGCCTCCCAAGTGCTGGGAATAAAAGTGTGCACCACCACTGCCCAGTTTATACTAGACACTTACCAGATTAATAATTTGCAAATATTTTTCTTTAGTACCTGGATAGTATATCACTTAAATACAGATAAATACAATCTATGGAAATATGCAGTGATATTAATATTGAATGACAAGAATACAATTACAGACAAGTAGCTATTCTAAAAATATGCAGTTTTAGCTCTTAAAATTGTCATTTCATTTGTGATAATAAATATAAACACCTGAGTGTTCTTGTTAATTCTGATGTATGACTTTTTGTATGTTGCCATTATAGTTCAACATGAGGAAACAACATACATTGCAGTTGCTGTGAAGTCTTCCATTCACCTTTATGCCTGGGCACCAAAATCCTTTGATGAAAGCACTGCTATTAAAGTGAGTGACCGTTTCATTTGCATAATACTGTTTTCTCTAAAGAAGAAATTATAAACAAAATAGTAGTTTGTAATGTAGATGTGGAAATACATACCATTTGGCTACAATTATTGCAATTTGAATATATCATGTCAATAATTATCATTTAACCCCTTTTTAGAAAATCCACAGGCGCCACAGCAAGGGAGAGTTTGAGGGATGTCCCCAACCCTTCCCCTTACAGGACATCCCCACCAGCTCCTCACTCCCATTTCCTGTAGTCAACATGAAGATCTTCACTTCTAGAGGCCAAAACACAGGCTTCAGGTGCCACCTCAATAACTTGAAGCTGGGAAAGTCCCTGTTCTCTCTTAGTGGGGGGTGGGGAGTAGTGAGAAGGTAAGAAGAGATGTGGAGATACTGAGGAAGCCACATTGGAAGGGGGTGAGAAAAGCCTGCTCCAGCTATCAGTACAATAGGTGGGTGGGGGAAGCAAGTGGTGTCTTGATTTCTTCTCTGGAGAATTGTTCTGGAAGCTAGCCATCTAATGGCCCAAATAATCTGCTGCTGAGTTTTTCCCTTTCCCATAAATTGGGTTCTATTTAAATAGGATACATTTTTACAAAAGGCAAGTAGCTATTTTATCTTGTAGATCAGAATCACTGGAAGCATTTGTTAAATGTTTGGATCTCAGACCCAACTCCAGGCTGAATTAGTGGTTCTGTAGTGGGGCCTGAGAACCTGATTTTTAATAAATGTTCCCTGTGATACTGAACTACTCAGTCCACCTACAGATTTCACAAAGCTCTTGTAGAAACACATCCTGATAGACACCAAGGTATTCATGAAATACATTTGTATTTTAGATGAGGTTCTATTTTTAGGCCAAAACATCATATATAGATACACTGATCACGGTAAAACACATATGAATTTTCCTCAAGAACTATTTGCACTGTTTGCACAGTGTCCTCTTTGTAGATAGAATGGCTACTATATAGACATTCAGTCTACCATGACAGATATAGCATCCCTGATCTGATCTGCCTAAACTGGGTCTTGGTTCAGCTGTCAACATTTGGATATGTGTTAATTCTTGGGTGTCTGCTGGCTTGTCAGCGCTACCTGGTATGGAACTGGAAAACAGAGATAAGTACCAACAATAAGTCTAGCCAGTTCCTGCCAACTTCTCATTTCCATTTCTGATGCTCACCTCATAACCACATTATTGTAAATCCTGTCATGTGATGTGTAAGCTGATCTTGGCAAAGAATCCGTTTGCCTTTCTGTTACCTTAGACTATAAAGCATAGGAGTCTTAGAGGATAATCTGTCTACCATAGGTTAACGTGTATGGCCTTTTTCATTCCTTACCAAGTATGCATTGATCAATCAGCAGACTCCGAAGGAGACTACATGTCCTATGAAGCCTATATACGAATATTGGCAAAAATAAAGGCAGCTGATCCAGCGAACCGGTTTAAGAGACCAGATGAGCTCCTTCATTTGCTGAAGCTCAAGGCAAGGAACTTAAGGGCCACTAATGAGAGAACAAGGCCATATGCAGTTCTGAGGGTCATAACAATTTGGTCATTGTAGCTTATAGGAAACCATAGGTTCAGTTACCAAGATCATCAATCAATCAGCCAATCATAAACAGCCATCTGAGTTTTATAAACGTGTAAATCTAGCAAAAGAATAGGGAAATCTTTGCCTAGTCAGAATGTCATTTTGGCCTTTGGGCCATGTTTGCTTTTATATTTTCAGGTGTTTCCAACTCCTGACCTTAAGCCAGTGACAGTTGACCTGGCTGTTGGTTCTGAGAAAACACTGAAGATTTTCTTCAGCTCAGCAAATGGTTACCACATCATTGATGCAGAATCTGAAGTTATGTCTGATGTGACCTTGCCAAATAATGTAAGATAACACCTTCAGATCCCTTGGACTTACTGTAAACACTTTGAATTTTTCCAGTTATCAGAACTCTCAAAAGTTTAAAGTGTAACTTTCTTTCATTCCTTTTACTTTAAAAGCGATATTTATTTTTACTTCATGTGCATTGATAGTTTGCCTGTATGTACATGTGTGTCTGAGGGTGTAGCGATCTAACAGGTCAGCATATCAGAAGGTGTTGCTACATAAATAAGAATCACTAATGCTTTCATTTTCCAGGTATTTAAATGCAGTCTGCAGACAGATTTTGTTTGACCATAATGATTTTCTTATTAATGAATACATGTAACCTTTAAAATCCAGTTATATTGATTAACCAGATCTGTTCATCTCAAGCCCACACCACCATCTGGTCATTAACAAGTGGAACTCATTGAGGTCTTTCTCCCTTTAATGGCTTTGTGGTCTACATTCTCTATCTGTTTATCTTTCTGCATTTAGACTGATTTGCCCTAGGATACTTTTCAACTGGCTTTAGAATTTCTATACCCTGTAATATACTAATACATTGTGTTAAGAAATCAATAGCAGAATTACATAATTAAGTGTACTCCCCTCTTTATTGCATTGTCTATAGACTATAGCAAATTACTTTAAAATTCATTTATGATATTCATTATATTTGGGAATTTCTGACAAAAAGATTCAGTATTTTTAAAGTAAATGCTCTACAATTTTAAGATGTAAATAAAAGTCTAGATCTAACTTGCGAATGGTTGTGAAAACACTCATCATTAATATAAAGAGCTTGACGAGAACATCATATCACACCAAGTGCATCATACAAAATATTTATCGTGGAATTGATGGCTTTCCTTATTGAAAATTATATTTAAAGGAATGCCTTTACCAGTTGTTTTTTTTTTTTTAGTTTTTTTTTAAATTTTGATTTTCGGTTTTTGTTTGTTTTGAGTTTTGCTTTTTTGATTTTTGGTTTTTGGAGACAGGATTTCTCTGTAGTGTTTGGAGCCTGTCCTGAACATCACTTTATAGATAGGCTGTCCTCCAACTCATAAAAATCTTCCTGTCTCTGCCTCCTGAGTGCTGGGATTAAAGGTGTGCACCACCACCACCATTCTTTTTCTTCATCTCCTTTAAGATACTGAGCTTGCTGAATCTTAACATTTCAGCAGCTTATCATTCTCTATAACATTTGTGTGTTTTAAGTCACTCAATTTGTGTGATATCTTGAACATTTTAGGAATATATCATGTCTCTAATAATGCAATTAAAACAATTACATAAAACAATCAGAACGTTGGTGAAGACATCTTTAAAGGCATTTTGGTGAAACTGGCAATCATTAGCTAATGACCCAGTGGCTGCCTATATAGACAATTTACACTGTTTGTACTGTGAGAATATTAAACACAACCTCAGTCAAACCCACGAAATAATTTTGAAAAAAAAATATAACTATATTTAAGTTGTCTCTGTAGCTTCCTGAATCTTATTTATCATCATAACAGATAGCCTTTGTTAAGAAGCCAGTTCAATAAAGAATACTGGAATGTTGGTTTAAGTTAACACTTACTGAAAAGTCCAGCCAGGCATCTTAGTGCACACGTATAATCCCATAACTTTGGAAGTGTAGGCAGGAAGTTTGGCAGTATTATTACTAGCATTAGCTACTTAGCAAATTTGAAGCCAACCTGGGATATACTAGTCACTGGTTTGAAAAATAAAATCATTAAAGAAGTTTAAATCTAAATAATGAGGAGGGAAATTATTTGCTTTAGAAAATCAGTTAATTAACTTTAGAAACGAGAATGAAAAAGGAAGAGATTTCACAAATCATTTTCTGACCTAATTAGGATCCTTCATATATACGCAAACGTATTTTTAGACAAATTCCCTAGTGTCTTGACCCACTAAAATAGAAAGGACTCTAATATAAGGGAGAGGAGGCTGTCTCTAAAAGAGAATGTCCTAAAAATAATATTTTCTCCAAAGTGCTAGTTTACAAAGGCTCTCATGTTACAGGGAAGCCACGCGTGCTGACGAATATGCCATTCCTTCAGCAAGCGTCCGAGAAGCAAGGGAATTACCTCAGAGGCTCTCTGGATTCGCAACACTCCCTTTTTATTACAAACAGATTTTCTTGAGACAACCTTATTTCTTGGATTTTCTTTCATTTTTTCTTATCTGGTTTCTGATTCAACTGCTCATGCAAGTGCCCAGGGAACACATTAAAATTGCGTTTCGCCTCTGGATTCCCATTTTAGTTTTGAGGATTGTTGTTGCTGAGACATGGCCTCAAGCACTTGGCCTGAGTACGCTGGCTTTGGCAAGTATAGTTTCTCGTCTTTTCTTTTCCTGTAACTTGCTAATTTGAAAAACACACTTTTAAAATTTTATCAGAGAAGTACTGTCACTGGCATATTATCTGTATTCTAAACAGATTTTGTCTTGTTTATGAATCTAAAAACTTAGAAATATTTAGTTATCTCTTAATATTTCCTTATTCTGCCAACCAACACTTCCGAATTTGTATATCGAGCCTATGGTAACACGTGACTTGAATGAGACAGTCTACGTTTTCTTGAATAGGGGACAAATATAATTAAACAAGCCATAAACAGTATTAAAAGTTGTCCCTTAAAACATTTTAAGCTCAAGTTATTTGAGGGTTATTTTCCCTTTTTTCACGAATTTGCTGATGATCAAGAATTATGTATATGATTTGTTACTTGGCTCACATATTCATTGTGAAAATATTGCTTAATTTTGGAAATGAATCTTAAATTCAGAACTGTATTATTTTTCCTATTACAATAAAGAATACTTTCGTGGAATTTCCCAATATTTCACTGTGTTGGAAGGGCAGCTTTACTTATTTTTTCCAAATTATTATCCTAAGCAAAAGTAGAGAATTAAAATCAAAGGCTTCATGACATAATAAAAACCAACTCTTCTCAAATGTTTAGTTTATCTCATTCTGTCAAAGGTTACCTTCCTTCCTGCACGTTGAACATTTTTTGGTCTTCAATTAAAGGCATAGTTGTTTCAATTAATGTAATAGTGATAAAATTCTGGACACAAAAATCTTTATAAACATAATACCAATCCCTGGCAATCATTATATCACAGAACATCATCATTTTACCTGATGGCCTGGGAATTGGCGTGATGCTCTCCTTCAATGCTGAAGCTGCCTCTGAGGAAGCAAATGAACAACTCTACAAGAAGATCCTTGATGTGTGGAAAGATATACCATCTTCCGTAGGTATGTACCAATTTTTTTTCTCTCAGATGAGACCAAGAAGTTTGAAGAGTATAAAATGTATCCTAAATAAGGTTTCCAGAATTTTTTTCCCTTAAAGCACTGGTGGATAATTTAAAGTCTTGCACATTTAAAAGGGACTCTATTTTGTCTAGTCATCAATGTTCTGTTTATAGAGTAGTACTTATGTGAAATCCGTTATATAAAAAGACAGATACTGCCTGGAATACCTGTTATTTGCCACCCAGGTGGGTGGCAACATGAAAATCCATTTTTTTTCTGACCAGAACACTTCATTTCTCTAAATAGTCTAGGGCTTCTGGTCTGGGAAATTATCATAATCTGATATTCTTCTGTATGTTTCCAATGTTCAGTGGCTAGAGAATAAAATACATACCAATAGTTAAAATGTTAGCATGGGCAAATGGTAGAATGATAAGATGAATGGCAACTTCCCCGCCCTGTGTGTGTGTGTGTGTGTGTGTGTGTGTGTGTGTGTGTGTGTGTTTGAAGAGACAGTGGGTTATACAAAAGAGATGGAAAGGAAAGGGTAAAAAAGCTCTTTTTCCAAACAGATAACAGAATCTTCTAAAATGTCTGTACAGTGGGTAGAAAAGTGATACCCACATTATTTTAATGACCAGTTTGAAAGAACTCATTTTTGGACATTTTTTTCTATGGGTGATAGTTCTTTGCATTGGATCTGCAAAATCTTTTAATGTTAAGAATTGTCCTGAAAACCTACCCTAATTTCTTAAAACAGGTAAGAATTCACAGAGGGTTTAAATGACAGACACTTAATGCTTATGGTACAAACTGATGAATCTAGGGCAAAAGGAAGTAAAAGCGATGAATCATGTTCTATCTTTTATAGTAATACTTTTAGAAATAATATGTCAAGTAGAAAGTAGTGATGCAGCCTAGGGAAAAAATGCATCCCCAGAACCTCAAAAAGTATATGAACCAGAAATGAAAGTCAGGTAGCCAAGTTCAAATGGGAAACTGAGCATAACCCTAGTATTCAAGCCACTAGGTAATCACAAGAGTAAAAGGGATCTTCAATGTCTACATCATCTCTGGTTCTCAGGCAAGAAAATTTCTAACCTAGATCAAAAAGCTAATTTCACTTGATAGAATTTGAAAGACACATAGATGTAAAACAAATTATAGCACTATAAGCCCATGATGTCATTGTTTAGTGCATATTGAGAATATATTACAATATAACACTAACATCAATGAAAGAACTCAGTCTGTTTTCTAACTCCAAACACCTTGCTCTTAACAAGTAGCTTAAATCCAAACTGTCCTAAACTAAAATTTACATTTCATTAATCTATGATGTTTTCAATAACAAGGACAAGGTTTTTATTCCCAAATATTTGTACAGACGTTTAAGAATTATAGAAAATTTTACCAAAAATCTCTACTTCAAGATTTCAGAAAACAAACTAGGTTAAGTGGATGTGTGATGATATAAACACTGGGTATTGGACTCGGTAAACAGGCTGTATTAAATTAGAAAGTTTGGCTCTGTATGGCTGTTGAGAAGAATACTATTTTTATATAGTAGTCATGTGAGTAAAATACTCAAATTTATACATGCTAATTCTGTTACTAGTTACTGTAAGGCAGGTCATTAGTTCTTTGTATTTCCTGTGGCAAAAATTAATTAGGACCCTATATTACACTAATAAAGTTATTTCAGAACAGTTATTTTTCATAGTCAAAATATCATAGTAATTTAGAAAAAAATTGATATCAAAATCATACAAGTCTTATTGGTTAACTATTACATATTAATTTAACACATTACTATTAATCTGTGTATTGCCACATGGCAGTGGCTTACCAGCAAAGTTTTGGCATGTCTGACTCTGGCGGCTCCATAGCTTCTCTCTCTCTGCCCTTGTTTTAATTTGTTTATGAATCAGTTTTCCATGTATACTACAATATGGCTCTTTATTGGGATTCCTCAACCTGTATCTGGTGTGACACTGCACTTCACCAACACTGTTAACATTTTTTTTAAAATCATGGGTTGATCAGAATGTCTACAAACAAAGTTGTCTATGGTCTTACAATATCCTAATACAAACATCAACAAAGATCTAGCAAGTCAATGTGGATCATTGTAGGATCTATAGATAATGACTGAGTTTTACATCACTTCTACAAAAACTAAATGGTCTTTTGATATTTCCATTTGTATTATAGCTTTTGAGTGTACACAGAGAATCACTGGATGGGACCGAAAGGCTGTTGAAGTGCGGTCCCTACAGTCCAGTATTCTCGAGAATGAGTTCAAGCGCAGGTCAATCAAGAAACTGAGATTCCTGTGCACCCGTGGTGACAAGGTATAGTTTATACCCTTCAGTAAAGCAAAAATAAACTAACCATTGATACTAATTAGACTTTCTGACCTTTACATTTTGCTCATAAATATTTAAGAATATATCTTTTAAACTGGCACACTATTAATAAAAACAATTTTCTTTTTTGCAGCAGAAATAGATTTGGTAAATAATGTAATTTTGTTTCAACATAACCCCATTTCAAAGTAAAAATCTCTAGTTATATTACCATTAAAATTTGATATTTTATTTGGCATGAACTTACATTATTTTTGATCCAAAGTCATTTTTACTTTCATACCAAGAAATTTAAGAAAATATGAAAGCATATCTGCCTCCTTAGGATGATTTAAATATTTTGGTTTGATTATCATAATTTAATCACACATACCAGTGACATTCATTTTGATATTTCAGTGCATGCCATCCATATGAACTAATCAGATCAAGCTCCCTTCATCTGCCTTAGTCCCAACATCATTCTGATCTCTAGATAGATTTTTTTACCTTTGATATGCAAAATAAATCATTAATATTTTGTTTTTGGCTTATTTCAATTAATATAAGTTCTCTAGCTCTATGTAATTTGCTACAAATGCATGATTTTAGTTTTGGGAGGGTTGTTTGGTTTGGTTTGGTTTTCTTCAGTTGATGGGTACTTATTGTAGATAGTGCTCCAATAACCAGGGCGTACAAATATTTCTGGTAGGCTGGTACCCAATTGGATATATGAGAACCAGATCACGTGGCAAGCTTATTATTTTGTGTCTTATCTGTCTGGAACTTTTTGAGCTGCTCTTATACCATTCTCTATGATGGCTATAACAATGCACTCCTACCAACAGTGCTAGAAATTCTTTTTTGCCGTCTCCTTACCAGCATTTTCTTTGCTTTTTGAAGATCTTCCATTTCTAGCTTTCAGCATATTCCAAGAATAAGAGAAGGAAGAAGTGCTTACGTTTGTTAAATATATAACTATATGTTTGGCTTTATGGTTGCTATTTTAGAAGCTGTCTCAATTATATCTTCACAAGTAGGTATAATGAAGACTACAGGAAAGAAAATGAAAATTGAGTCTTGGAAATTGTCTCTGAAATTTGATCAGTGTTAACTGTTGAAAATAGCTAGATGGGAAATTTCATCAATTCAGTTAACATTTTAAGAAATAATGCTTTGAAGAATTAATCTTAATAGAATTAATAATCATTACCACAGATTACACAGAATTCAAGTTACTATAAGGGAAAGCGGGGCAAACTTGCCACATGTCAAGGAAAGGTGCCCGATTTTAGAATGTAATGCTAAGAACCAGGATTTGAGGTCAGAGAGTTAGGGTTGCAGTTCTGGCTCTGCCACCTAACAAGATGTGAGAACCAGAGAAGTTTAATTGATCTTTCCTATGTTTCTTTTGTCGGGGGTAGGAAAATGCTGGACATGGAACCCGGGATCTCACATGTGCTATGCAAACACTGTAGCATTGGGTCACATCTCCAACCCTTGTTTCATCTTTTAAAAACTTACTTCCTTTATTTCTTTCTTTATTTTTTTATTTTTTTCGAGACAGGGTTTCTCTGTGGCTTTGGAGCCTGTCCTGGAACTAGCTCTTGTAGACCAGGCTGGTCTCGAACTCACAGAGATCCGCCTCCCTCTGCCTCCCGAGTGCTGGGATTAAAGGCGTGCGCCACCATCGCCCGGCCTAATTCCTTTATTTCTAAGGTGGAACTAGTAATACTGTTTGGGAAAGGAAGATAAATCTCTTCCACAACAAAGATGTAGTAAGCATCTTACAGAGGATTCGGCACGTGAAATGTGCTAACGTTAGCTGCTCATTGTCAGCATGCCCTACTAAATAGAATTTTGAATGATGGAAGAAAGCTTTGATTTCTTTCTGATATTTATGTCTATTCTGTTCTGTTTTTCTTTATTATGGAAGAACCCATGTTTGTACACCACGTTCCTCTCTATTCCATTGGGTTTCATTCATGATACCAAGGAAAGGAGGAAATGTTACAATTCAATTATAATCTCAAAAAATAAAAACAAATTTATTCTAATTTAAATTGTCTTTTAACACAAGGAAAGAATTTTTGCTGTCACTTGCAACTTGTGCTTATATTTAAGTTATAGGAATATTCTACTTTTTATGTTTTTTTTACTAAAGTGAAATGAACTTGTATCCTAAAAAGTAGAAATTTTAATTCCCTTTCTTCCCTCCAAACTCTCTCGTTTACTTCTCCCAGCCATTCAAATTCATAGTCCCTTTTTCACTAATTTTTATTGCATCATAATTTTTATATTCATATATATTCCTATATATAGCCTGTTCAGTCCTCAAAGTGTTCCTTGTATGAATGTATTCAGGGCTGGCTTTTTGGCACTAGACAACTAGTTGGTGTGGTTTTACCTGGTGGAAAAGCACCTCTCCCACTTCCAGCTCTCAGCTTTCCTCAGTTGCCTATAGTCCTTTGTATAGAGTGGAGGTCTTGTGGGCTTTCCGATCCAGTTTGGCATGTCCTCAGCTAAAGGAAAGTGTTGTTAACCAAAACTAATAAGGCACTTCAGCCAACGAAAACCATCAATAATAAATATTATATGGCAGTTGGTAGCTGCTAAGGGAAGTAGAAGCATAATTCTTTAGGGAAAGCACTCGTAGGTTCCCGGCCTCACACCTGTGCACATATGGTCAGCCCTGATTGGACCCAGTGGGTTATAAATTTTGAAAAGAGAATATGAAGATGGGAGGAAACATGTTGAAGGGATCCAAAGGAAATTGAGCAAGCGATCATGTGATCATAATCCATTGTATAGGTGTATGAAAGTCTCAAAGAATAAATTTTAAAAGTAAACATAAAGCCAAATTAATAAAATATATGAACTGCAATTCTCCAGAATATGGTGAAAAGGTTACCTTAAAATATGCAATTTAAGTTCCAAACTAATCAAACTTATGCTTCTTAAAATAAGAAAAGTTATTCCAAACAAAATGGCTTAATATTTTAATTACATCGAATTATAGTTATAAACTGGTACTTACCACTTTTGTTTATTATCTGGCTAAAATGGATAAGCCACTCACTGATGATGCTTTTCTCTTTATTTCTTTAAAGCTGTTCTTTACGTCTACACTGAGCAATCACCACAGCCGGGTTTACTTTATGACCCTTGGAAAACTTGAAGAGCTCCAAAGAAGTTATGCTGTGTGAAAGATCCCATTGATTTCCTCCAGCATTTACATCCATCACATATATGCCATTACATTCTAAAACTCCAGTTTTACCATAAGAAAAACTTTAATCAGAGGCTTTTAATGTAGCACATCATAGTTTCAATGACAAGTACAGCTTTATAAACAAACTTAACTATAGCAAGCTCTATGTACTCCAATGGTGTACAATATCTTTTGCACGAACTTTGTAACTTTTGTTACTGTGAATTCAGACATTACTCTTAAGACAGTTTGGACAGTATCTGTATTCAGATTTATAGCATGGAGTATAGAAACCTGTTATAAATTACTTTACAAGTGACTTTCAAATAAATTGGCCCTAAATAAGCTTTTCCAAAGAAAAAATTTAATTAATGTAGGTGACTTTTTTCCAAGAAAAGTTAGATTAAGAGAAAAAACATAAGGAATTTTTATAGCCCAGACTAAGGTTGAATAACCTGCATACCAAAAGAAAACTACAGTGATCAAGGGGGAAATGCCACCCAATTCTTTTTCATAATAAATCCACAGTTGGAGACCAATTGTGATTTCCCCCCCTTGCTAAACTGGTTTTCTCTACATAAGAAGAAAAGGAGAAAACCTCAGATGTTTGGTTCCCCCATCCTAAAGTCCCAAATATGTGCAATAACTGTTTTACAACCTACTAAACAATATATTTACTACTTTGAATACAGAACTGAACTCCAATACACATGTACTGTAGAGAGTTTTTTTTTTTTTAATACTTCTAAGTAGGCGTCAAATTCTGTCCACATGATTGGCTGGGTTCTTAATTTTATTATCTAGCTATTACTATGACCATCAGACAGCATTGAATATTTTCCCAGTCCTACATTAAACTATATAAAATGCCCTTTCAGGTATTAAACAAAGCAGTGTGACAAAATGAAAAGAACATTGATAGCTAATACTTGCATTTTCACATTTCTATCACTACAAACTGAGAAATAAAGTCATCAAGTGATAATCTCAAATTTAGTCATTTGCTATAAGTAAGTAAATTACAAGAGATTTAAAACAATAACATTGATCATATATCAAAGTCTGAAAATTGGACTAGTGAAATTCATGCCAGTCCATACCCAAATATTTTATAGACGCCAAAATAGGTGATATTTGATCACCTATGGTAACTGCTACCTGATATAAGAAAACGTGATTTATACCTATCCATCCTCAATGCCATGGTTAGTTCTGGGGCGAGAGAAAAAGCCACAGAACCTACCACAAAGTATACCTCAACAAGCCCTCTAGTTCTGCTTCTGAAATCTGAAGCCTTTTAAACTACCTGGTTAATCAAAACAGAAAGCAGCTGACTGAGTGTGATTTCCTGGCAGTGTATCATTTCCTGGAACCTTTGTGCCAGAAATGAAGATTTGCATTTTCTCATGACTTCTATCAAGAGTGCAGTAGCTCAGTGTTCAGATTGTAGACGAACCTGAATCCCCAAGTGAAATGTGATTCACATTTCTGTTACTGTGATACAATAATGTGATCCTAAAACTGGCTTATCCTTCAATGTTTACAATTCCAATTACTTTTTTTAAGTTCAGTAGTTACTTTAAATAAGCAAACTTTAATGTCAAATCAATACCTTAGAAGTAGTTTTCTTTTTTTTAAAAAAAAATGTGTACACCAAAGGCCGTGGGGAACTTGGTGCAAGTACCTCATCGCTGAGCAAATGGAGCTTGCTATGTTTGAATTTCAGAAATTTTTCTCATTTAAGTAGTATGTAGGAAAGTCTTTTAAGCATTTTTCTTCTTCATATTTACTCAATTAAGCTTATAATAAGTTTTATCTTAAAATCATATGTTTAAGGCAGTAATACATTAAAAAAAAAACAATTTTAGCAACTCACCTCCCATTGCTCTCCAAGGCAAGTATTCCAGCAAGCACAGGGAATAGCAAGCATACTCTCCAAAGTTATCCCAAACCAACCACACAGGAAAGATTAGCACTGCACTGCTGTGCTTTGAAGGCTAATGCGTTAGTGAGGAAAAGAAGGTTGACACCTAGCAAGGAAAAGGAAGCCCCACGCATTGGGTGGCCAAGTATGAGCTAGTGAAATAGTTGAAGTAGTTCACTAGTAATAAATGTCGCTAGTGAATATTTCTAGTCTAGGTGTACATCTGTGTAGGATCTATATAGCCTTTGGCAGGTGAGCCGGAACAGTGGAACAATGTCATTTCATAGTCTTTATACTCAGTAATAGAAGAAATGACATATGTACTATGCCATGTAACGGTGCCTAGAAGGCCCAGCATATCACAGAAGTGTGGAGAGGCACCCCTGAAGGTCAGTGTAACTAGGATTATGATTGGAAGCATGAATATTTTGGCGGGTTATTATCAGCACTGGTGAGAGTATGGTTTGATTTAATGGTGGTTTAGTTGCTTTAAATTACTTGTAATAAAAGAAATTGTGCAAAATGTTTTGAAAACAGTTTAGGAAGAGGACTGATAGCAAAATTTCTGAATAGATTAATGGGTTCAAGCAAAGTAAGATGCTAATTGCAAGAAGTGAAAATTATCAAAGCAATAAAACGAGCAAATCAATATCACTCCTAAACTTACATCCCTTCACCCACATTTTAAAATGCCAAAGATTAAATTCATTGTGAGATAAACTGATAACTAATTGATGTTTTCTGCAAAGATTCGTTGATTTGAAGGCTGGACAGATAACTAGATTAGTAAAGCCCATGCCTTATGGCTCCAAATTCAATCCCCAGAAATCACATAGAAATTCCAGTCATGATAGTGGATACTTCCAATTCCTGTGCTAAAGAGAGTTAGACCAGTAGATCTTTGGAGCTTGCTTGCCAGCTATTCTAAACTAATTGGAGAGCTTCTGGCCAATGAGAGACCCTGTCTCCAAACAGGTGGATGGCATTCCTGAGGATGACACTGGATGTTATCTTCTGCTCTTTCTCCCTCCCTCCCTCCTTCCCTCCCTCCCTCCCACCCTCCCTCCCTCCCTCCCTCCTTCCCCTTTCTCTCACTTCCCTCCCTCCCTCCTCCCTCTGTCTCCTCCATAACACAGATACGTACACAAACACACACACATACACATGCATACACAGGCACACATGCATACACAGGCACACACACACACACACAAAACACCATTCATCTGAGATGGTCTTGATAAGATAATGAATATTGCCATATACTCTCAATGGGATCTTTTAAGTACTTTTTGATTTGTCTCAAGATATGTGCCTGTTTGAATCATTTATACTCAACATGTATGGAGTTAATCTTTGAGACTAATTGTTTGATTGGAAACTCTAATGGATCATTGTTTGGCTTCTTAAATAAAACTTTGCAGTTATTGATTGATGTCATTATTGAAATACACAGTGTCTTGGAATTTGAACTCATTTGAGAAATAATTTCTTTAAAACAAATGAGAATCTAACAATTAGTGTATATTTGAGGGTCTCTCTGTTGCATGGTTCTGGTCAAGGAAACCTGTATCTATCTAATAAGAGCCCTTTCTGTAAACTGGGGGTGTGAACCAGTAAAGATCTTGTCATTCAAGCATGAAGGTGTCAGTACGGAGTCCTAAAATATTGGTAGAGCTGTTGTAAACCCAGCATTGGGGGAGGGGATAAAAAGTGGATTCCTAAAGTTTGCTGGCCAACCAGTATGGCCAAATCAGAGTCTTTGACTCAGCAAGACAAAAAAATAAGGTGGCAAGAAACCGAGGAAGATGCTCAATGTTGATCTGTGCCCTTCAAGTGCACATGAACATATATAGACAACACAACATCCTATGTAAATAGCTCCGAGGTTACCCTTGTACAATTAGAAGCTAATAACATTTTCTCTAGATATGTGGAACTACAGACATAGAATCACATAGGATAGAGTTTAACACATTTTGATTTAACAGGGAACACTGGTAGCCACATAAGTATAGAATCATTCAATATAGGCAAACCCAAGCAAATCTCAATACTACCTTCCCTAGAATCCCACCCCAGTATCTTAATGTTTGGTGGAGATGAAAAGTAAGAACCTTATGCAAAGAGAAGAGTACATATTTGTAGTTTATTAGTAATCATAATGGGGTTTGTAAAAGCTGATAATTGAAGAGAGAAGAAAGCATAAACATGGCATTGTCACTTGTTATGTATATTTAGAAACATCAATCTGATTCAAAATAGTAGTTGCAGAAGAGGTAAAATTAACTTATGTGGAATTATGTTTTCAGAAGCTTGTCAATATTGCAGATAAATAGAAAATCAGATTTGGAGCCATCTCCCTCAAAAGGGAGGCCACTATGACCTATATACTTTAAGGATCATAGGTAATGACAATTTTCTTAGTTATTGCAGGCATCACAAAGTAAGGTATTTACTTTCTGGTATACAAACATTTGTTTTGGATGTGGTCTTTTTCCACAAATTATCTTGTTGCATCCCGAGATATGTTTTCTTTCATAAATGTTATGTTACTATAAACATATGTTCCTGTGTTCATGGAAGGTACCTTTCTAGTAGGTAAATTATTTTTAGGAAGGAGGCTATTAAAACAAACATTCCGTACCAGAAAGATGAATCTCTAGCAATCAATATAATGGGGTCAAAACTGATTGAACTACCAAAATGCAAAGTTATTTTCCATAGGTAAAATTAAATTTATATGACAAGCTAAGAAAATATGGGCTATATTTGATATTGCCCATTGGTCTATTGTCTACACTCATCCAAATAGATACTTGATAGCTTGAAGTGCTTGGCTTTGGGGTTTCCTGGGCATGAGCATCTATGAGAGTCTTTGGGCTAGGTGCCCAAATACCTTGGGTCATAAACCTCCCTGGGTAATAGCTTTGCAAATTGTAGTTTGCCGTATCCTTTCCACTCCTGATTAATCTTTTTCCAATCAGCCCTTTAATCTGCCTACACCCCATCCTATTTCATGTAAAATTAATTATGTCTTTTCATTCACTTTTAAGAATGACCTGATATAATCATGCCAATGAACTTAGACTTAAGAAGAGTTCCATTCATGCTCTATTATATGACCCCTTTAAATGGCTAAGATTTTTAAGTAACTCTCATGAGCTGTGTTGAATTACTTAGCCTAGGTAAAATGAATAAATACATATTTGCTCCATATATGACCCCAGTGACAGACCAGAGGAATGATTACACCCAATTGGGCACAGCTTAATGAATCATTGACTTCACTGATTGACTTTACAGAACCTGATTGATGAGTTACTGGGCATGGGTGGTCATTCAGTCTGCTTCATTTTGTGGATTCTTTTGGAATTTTAAATCCAATAGGAAACTTGTAGATTCTTTTAGTCAAAGATAGCTTGCGAAGGTTTGATACTGATCATGGCCCAGCTAGGATTTAAGCTCTACAAAGTTTGGCTTCAGAATGTGTGCTGTTCCTTAGAATTGAGAAGAAATGAATATCAACATACTTCAAACAATATCTTTCTGCAGAATCATTAATAAGTCCAATTTTTCATCTACTTGTCAGTTGTTGGAGGATAAGATTATACTTATTTGACATTAAGTCCCATTGTTAATTTTAAAGCATGGGTGTGCATGGAGCCTTAAAAAGTTGGTGAGGGCTAAAGAGATGGCTCAGTTGGTAAGAACACTTACTGTGCAAGTATTAAGACCCACATTGAGATTCTAAGCACTCATTTAAAATCGAGGCATGGAATATGTGCCTGTAATCAAAGCTGAAGGTTTGCAGGATGCTAGCCTAGCTCCCAGTTGAGTGAGAAACACTGTATCAAGGGAATAAGGTGGGGAATGTTAGAACAAGACCACTGATGGTCCTCCTCTGACCTCCATAAGCATGTAGGTGGGCACACTCAGAATGCACAAGTACATACACCACACACAATCACACAACCTCAGAAAACACTGACTGATTGAATGAAATGTCTTGAGTAGAGTGTGAAAAAAAAAAAGAAAACAAATAAAATCCTCTGCTCTCCTATTACGGTGGCAGAGCCACACACCTCTATGATACGTATCTCTATAGTTGCCATGAATTTTAGCTCTCCTGATACTTACTTGATAACATGTGTTAGGACATATGATATGCTTTTCTTGACTTGGAGTTGAGAGCAAAAGTAATTCATAAGAGGTGAGTGAAGTAGAAGGCAGCTATTATCCCGAACAAGTGTATCTTTTTCTCACTGGTCTGGATACATGGGCACACACTGAGAAATCTCGTCGCAGCCAATTCTGCCTTTGTCTCTGTTTATCATCTACAAGGTTAAGTGAGGTTATATCATGGGCTTCAGTTCAAAGAATGTGTTTGCTTGTATATTCAAATATCTGTCTGAACTGCTTAAAAGAACAAGTGGTTTCATACCAGAAACTGAGGGAATTTGGTTTCTAATGTTGGAGCATGGTCCCTCATGAGGCTCCCCAATTACAAGTACATGGAGTGTAGGACCACTTCTTGTGGTCCTGAGTGCCCAGTACCTTCAGCCACATCACAGTTCAGTTCAAAGGAAAGAAGCTAGTCTTCTCTAATTCCATTCATAGCTCAGAAACTGGAGTTGGGATTCTGATATCATTTGTGATGGCTTTTATGACGAGTTTTTCTCCTTTTAAACTGTTTTTCTTTGCATCTAATATCCACTTATGAATGAATACGAACCATGTTTGTCTTTCTGGGTCTGGGTTACCTCACTCAGGAATGTTTTTGTGTAGTTCTATCAATTAGTCTGAAAATTGGGAGTGCAGGGTTGTCAGAGGGAGGGGTGAAGGGAAGGGGGGCAGGAGAACATGAAGAAACTGGAAGGTTGAGTTCTGGGAGGGACAGAGAGGGAGAGAAAAGAGAGAGATATCTTGATACAGGGAGTAATGGGTTAGGGAGAAATCGGGTACTAGGGAAACTCCCAGGAATCTACAAGGTTGACTTTAGTTAACACACTAGCCATAATGCAGAGGGTGCCTGAACTGGCTTTCTCTTGTAATCAGATTGATGACCACCCTAATTGTCATCATAGAACCTTCAGCCAGTAACTGGTGGAAGCAGACACAGATCCACAGCTAAGTACTGGGCCGAGCTCGTGGATTCCAGTCAAAGAGAGGGTGGAGGGATTATATGAGCAAAGGGATCAAGATCATTATGGGGAAACCCACAGTAACAGCTGACCCAAGCAAGGAGAAGCTGAGTGATTCTGGACTATTGATAGCTGGGGAACCTGTATAGGAACAGACTAAGCCATATAAATGCAGGTGTCAGTTGTATGGCTTGGGCAGTCTGTGGAGCCACTGGGAGTGGGACTAGGATTTATCCCCAGTGTATGAACTGACTTTTTCGAGGGATACCATGTTCAGCCTTAATACAGCAGGGAGGAGCTTGGTCCTGCTTCAGTTTAGTTGACTTCCCAAGGGAGGCCTTACCCTTTCTTAGGAGTTAATGGGTGGGAGAATGTAAATGAAAAAACTTTTAAATAAAAAATTAAAACAAAATATTTTTTTTATTTTGTGGATAATGTGTGTATGTATGGATTTGGGTGTGCCAATACACACCAGCAATATGGAATTGGTGGAGATCAGCATGAGACTGTGAGCAAGCAAAGGACAGTTACGTGGAAACAGTTTTCTCCTTCTGCTTTACATGGGTTCTGAGGACCGAGCTCAGGCTGGCAGGCTTGAACCAAGTGTTTTCCCCACTGAGCCATCCTATTGGCCTTGCTCTTCTGGCCTACCTCCCCACCACCTCCACGCTTTCTCTTTATCCTTCCCTCCTTCCCACCTTCCTTCCTTCCCCCCACCTCTCTCTGATTTTTCTTCTTTTAGAGATAAGAGTTTCTCTGTGTAACAGCCCTGTGTGTTCTAGAGCTTGTTCTGTAGGGCAGGCTGACCTCAAACTGCCTGCCTCTGCCTTCCAAGTGCTATAATTAAAGGCATGTAATTAAAAAATATGAACCGTGCGCTGCTGCTGCCTCCTCCTCCTCTTCCTCTTGCTCTTCTACTTCTACTACGTCTTCTTCCTTTCTCTTAAGAGAGGGTCTCATTAGCAAGCCCTGATCTGAAACTACCTATGTAGAATAGGCTGGCATCAAACTTACATAGATCCTGCTGCTACTGGCTCCAAAGTTTTAGGATTAAAGGTGTATGTCACTATGCATAGTCTTGTTCTGGCTTTTTTCCCTTTCAGTTTTTAATTTTTTTAATTTTCAATAGATTTTTTTCATACAGGTCTGATTACTATTTCCCCTCTCCCATCTACACACAGACCCTCCCCCACTTCACCACCCATACAAATTCACATCTTTGTTTCTCTCACTAGAATACAAACAGTCATCTGAAATAATAATAAAATAAAGTAAGATAAAAT